ATCTGGGTCGTCGCTCCATCCCGAGAAAGATCGTGTCCGTGTCTTTTCTCCACATTGGCCTCATGGACGAACCACGGGAACGTTACAAAAGGTTAAAAAAAGAAGATGAATAAAAACTAAGAGATCTCCTTAATGTTTCTGAACAAAATATTAAGTAGACCTTAGTTTTTTTTTCCATTCATATTGTTGGAAGTAGGAATTGGCGTTAACTCCAAGCAAAACTTGACAGATTCTTCGTTTTAAGAATATGAATATTCTTAGCATTCTTCTTAACGCTAATAACGCCGCCCTGTGAAATGATGCCAAGCAAAGACAATCCTATTTATGGCTTACCTTTTAAGAAAAGCTTCCTGGGGCAGCCCGGTTTAATATTTTTTCTGAGTCTGAAGGTCATGAGCAAACTCCATTCTAGACCAGGGAGGCTTTTAAAGTCAGAACAACACATTCAGCAAAGAAGCCCGAAGCTACAGAGTCTTCTTGCTTGCTCTGGGGCGGGCGGGGGGAGATGGGGGAGGGAGGGATGGCCAAGTGGTGTTGGTGGCTGGTTTCGTATTCCAACAAGCCCTGCTTTGAGACTATTTCCGTGGTCTGCAGGAGGCTAGGGCAGGGGTGAAATTCAGCAGGTTCTGGAGAACCGGTAGCGGAAATTGTGAATAGTTTGGAGAACCGGCAAATGCCACCTCTGGCTGTCCCCCCGAGTGGGGAGGGAATGGGGATTTTGTAGTATACTTCCCCTGCCATGCCCACAGAACCAGTTGTAAAAAAAATTGAATTTCACCACTGGGCTAGGTGTTGTGACCCGGCAGGTGCCCTTGGAGCTGCCGCCAGACTCTGACAGCGAGGGGCCTTATGAGTCGGCCCTGGAGGAGGTAGAGGACCCTGGACAGGGTGCCAACACCAAGCAGGGCGAGGAGAGACTGGTTGGCCACCAGGTGGCGATGGAGCCTTGGATCAGAGGGAGTGATTAGGAAAACACTTGTGAGTTGTTTCGGGATGCACGCCGTCGAAGGGCTACTCGGTGGCAGGAACAACTAGGAGATGATTACGCTCAGTTGATGCTTATTAAGATCCTCTCCTGATTATAAAAGAGACTGCTTGTGCCACGCAGTCTCTTTGTTTATGTGGCTTGCAGCCCACGAGAGTCTTGACTGATTAAAAGGAACCTTTTTATTTACGTGGATTTTGGCTTTCATTCCTGGACGGAGGAGGGGGGGCAGAACATCTAGGGGTGTGTGTGTGTGTGTGTGTTTGTGTTTGCACCAACTCGGGCCTTGAGGCGAAGGTGGGAAGGCAATGAAAACACAGGGATGCAAGCTGCCCTCCCAATATAATAAAGCTATATTACAAACTATACATCACGTATTGGGGAAGGAACGTTAGCGCACAGAGGAGGAGGAGATAGGATACAATTTGATAAAAAGGCCGGATAGAGAAGGACGCCGTGGCCTCTCACGCCGAGGTCGGGCACCCAGACCCCCGCCATGGGGAGAAGGGGATCCTTCCTTCCTCAGGTTCCTGGATGGCCACCATCATGAGGTCAGTAACTGAATGTTCTTCAGCATCTCGTCAAAAGCTTCCGGCGAAGGCGCCTCGGCGTTCTGGAAGGAGACTTTGATCCGGCTGTAGAGGCTGAACGACTGCAGCTCTAACCAGATGAAGCCGAAACGGTCATCGTCAAACAAAACGAAAACGCCGGGGGTTCGTTCGGGACTGGTGAAGCCGTGTCCGGCGATGAGGCCCGTCCCATAGAAGCTGCCAGCGGCGGAAGGGAAATAAAGACAGTGTGAGCGTTTCCCACGTCCCATTCAGATAAGAACAGTGGTCTCCAAGCTTGGCAAGTTTAAGACCTGTGGACTTCAACTCCCAGAGTTCCTCAGCCAGCTTTGCTGGCTGAGGAACTCTGGGAGTTGAAGTCCACAGGTCTTAAAGTTGCCAAGCTTGGAGACCACTGTTCTTATCTGAATGGGACGTGGGAAACGCTCACACTGTCTTTATTTCCCTTCCGCCGCTGGCAGCTTCTATGGGACGGGCCTCATCGCCGGACACGGCTTCACCAGTCCCGAACGAACCCCCGGCGTTTTCGTTTTGTTTGACGATGAAAGTTTCGGCTTCATCTGGTTAGAGCTGCAGTCGTTCAGCCTCTACAGACGG